TATGAGTGTTTTTATTGTGTTTAAATAATATTGGTGTAACATATTTGTGTTAAACTGTTTTTATAAAACAGAATAACAATTAAAAAATAAATTAAATAATTAAATATTACAAATAAAAATAAAAATAAAAATAATAAATTAAAAATTAATTAAAAATTATATAAATATTTGAATAAATAAATTAATTAAAATATTAATTTAAAATATTTCTCTTACACTATAAAAATTTATTCGTTAAACTTAATACCCAAGACTTTTCCTATCTTCGCACCAATCTTCTTGTCAAAAACATCTTGTCCCTTTTCCTACTTAGAAACCACAGCAACTGTGACGTTACACTTTTTGGCAAGATCTTCCTGTTTAAGGTTCAACTTATTTCTTGCTTGGGTAATCATTTTTCCTTCTTCAACTGTTACGTTCCTTTTCTCTTCATCTTCTGGTTTTGGTTTGTGAGCCTCAGGGGCTTTCTTTTTTCTTATGATTATTGGCTTGTCATTGTACATGGCTATGGGAAGAGTAAAAATTTTTTTTTAATTGTTAAATTATTTAACTTAATTGTAAAAAAATACACCAATAAAAAAATATAAATTAAATTAATAAAAAATAAATAATAATTTTAATTAAATATTTTTTACTAGAATTTTTTAATATTTATTTTAAAAATTAAAATATAAATATTAAAATATTTATTTTCATGTTTTATTTGAATATAATTTATTTTATTTATAAATTAATTTGTTTTCTTTATAAATTAATTTATTTTCTTTATAAATTAATGTTTTAAATATTTTAATCATTAATTTATGCAAAACAGTTTATGCGTTTCATGCAAAGAAGTTGCTTACACAGAAATAAGAAAAGTTTTTTATTGCATAAATTGTTTCAAAGAAACAGTCCATAGAAAAATAAAAAGAAACATTCATTTATGTTCTATTCCTAAGAGAACTAGCTGTAAGTGGAATTCTGTCTTAAGGCAATTGAGGCATCGTGCCTTAAGGCAAATTGCTGGTACTTTCCGTACCAAAAATTATTTTTTTTTTAAAAAACGATTAACATTTTTATAAAAATTTTACTTCAAAAAAATAAAATTTTTGAGGAACTATAAATTCAACAAAAAATTACTTTTTTTTGAAAAAAAAAATTTTTTTAAAAATTTTTTTAAAAAAAAATTATTTTTTAATTTTTTTTTTTTGAAAAAAAAAATGTTTTATTTATTTTGATATATTTTGGAAGATCTGAACTATTTTTCAAAGCAATCGTACTGCTTTAACTGCATAGAGACAAAATATAAAGCGCGTAAGCGCCGCGTCGCTGTCTAACGGATAAACATTGGTACGGAACCCATAGGAATGTAAACAAAATTTATACTTATCGTTAAAATCTCTATAAAATATCTGATAATTTGAGGTGCGCATGTCTAATGATCATTTTTGACCGCCAAATGGCATTTTTTTTTACTTTTTTCGTTAGATCTCCGAAACCGCTAGACCTGACCTCATGAAAATTTGATCAATTCTTCATCTTGTCAATACAAGTGAAATGTTTTTTGAATTATTCAAATCGGACGCTCCGTTCTCTTAAAAACTGAGTTACCGTTTTCGGCACTTTTTGCCCCGTATCTTCAGAACGGCTAGGCCTGCCTTCGCCAAAAACTAATCAGCACGTCTCCTTATCAATACAAATCGAATGTTTTTTGAATTATAAAAAATGGCAGTTTTTGAGAGAACTAAGCGTCCGATTCAAATGATTCAAAGAACTTTCTGCTTGTCTTAACAAAATAATCGATTTTGGAAAAAAAATTTTGTTCTATTTTTTTTTTTTTTTTTTTTTCAGTTTTTTGTATATCGAAAATATTTCAGATTTTATTATTAATTCTGACTATAGTTCTAATATACTTTACAAATAATTTCAACTCTGTGCAATTCAGTTTATATAATTCTTATAAATATTAAACAATGTTACAATATTTATAATAATCTATTTGAAAACATTCAGTATTCCTCGAACATTTCGTTATGGTGCCGGAAGTTCCAGCAATTTGCCATAAAGCACGATGCCATAATTGCCTCAAGACAGAAGTCCACTTACAGCTAGTTTATAAATGTTATTAATCCTACGTCAGATCGTCAATTCCTTAATTCAAAAGACGTACAATTCGAGTTATTAAGCAACTTTTATATAATCGACTCTATAAATCTTAATCAAAATAAATCTATCAAATCTAACCAAGAATCAATCGATTTTCAATGTTTGTTCAATAACGTAAATTACAACGACACAATTGATGATAATGACAAGAATCAAAGAGTACAAAAAGTTTTACAATGCATAAAAACTAATCACATGACAAATCTCGAAAAAGATTCAATTTTAAATATTTGTACAAAATTTCATGATCTGTTTTATTTAGAAAACGACAAACTGACATATACAAATACGATTACTCATAGTATCCCCGTCGAAAATGACGAAAAACCCATATACATAAAACCCTACAGATTACCGCACGCTCATAAAACAGAAATTCACCGACAAGTTTCACAGATGTTAGCAGACGATATTATTCAAAACTCGCAAAGTCCCTGGAATTTTCCTTTAATTATTGTCCCCAAAAAACCTGATGCTGACGGAAATAAAAAATGGAGGATTTGCGTCGATTTCCGAAAATTAAACGCAATTACAAAATCGGACGCTTTCCCATTACCAAACATCACTGACATTATTGACCAACTAGGTAACTCACGATTTTTCACGACTCTAGATTTAGCTCAAGGCTTTCATCAAATTTTACTAAATAAAACTGACCGAGAAAAAACTGCATTTTCTACTGACTTCGGACATTTTGAATATAAACGGTTACCGTTTGGAGTTTTGGACTTAAGGGCGGACCGGCGACTTTACAGAGACTGACCAATACAGTTTTGTCGGGCATACAAGGAATTAGAACTCTAGTTTATATGGACGACATAATAGTTTACGGGAAAACACTTGAAGAACATAATACCAAACTACTAGAAGTGCTAGAAAAATTACGACAATACAATCTAAAATTGCAACCCGATAAGTGTCATTTTTTGAAACACGAAATTACGTTTACAATACAAAAAGGCGGAAGGGAGATATTTGACAACCTAATATTTTAATTTCTGGCACATCTCAGCTGTTTTTCGGCAATAATAATGTAGACATTTCATTTTTCTTATTCGTAATGATAAATTTATTATACATATTCTAATATTGTCTAGGTTCATGAGTAAATTGAAATTTTTGGCAGGTGATAGTTTTCATTTGTTTTCAATGCAAACAATGACATGTTGATTTTTGCAATTTTTTCCATTTATTTCTACAATATTGCACACACATCCCAGTACTTTATAATCACATATATCCTAAAAAGTTTCCTTAACAAACTTCAGAAAGATTTATCAAAATCCGAATAATCGTTTAGCAGGAGTATACAGTGAGTGCTTGTAATTTAATATGAACTTTATATAATAGCAATAAAGCTCAAATTGATTCTAAGTTTTAGTTAGAAAACGTTTATATGAGAAAAAGATAAGGGCTGTTTTAGGGTTTTCCCGGCAATTATTCGATTTTTTCTTATCGTAAGAACCATCCTTGGACTTCAACGAACATTTTAAAAAAAGAATTAGCCAAATTGGTCAAGGCGTTGTTGAGTTATGCGCTTACCAACACATTTTGCGATCCATTTTTATATATAAGATTTACAATTTTTTTAAAGTAACTTTTAATTTGATTGGATTTAGTACACAAAAAGTAAGATGTAATCTGAAAGAGTATAAAATACATTGATTTTAAATTTATGTAGAAAATCGAGGTAATTCGCGGGTTGATTATAATCAAATATTTTCAAAATTTCAATTATTTTTAACGTATGTGCAATATTAATATTTGGGTTTTGAAACATTTTACTTATTTATTGTGCGATTTATTCTATTGAGCAAATCATGCCAAGACAGCTAAAAAAACTATCTTGTCGTTTTCAATTATAACACTCGTATTTCATGTTGGATTTTTTAACTTCCCGTAGGGTAAGTTATTGTAATGGGCCGAAAATCGGAATTGAAAATTTTTACATTTCTCGACGTTTTGAAGGTTTCTGAACGTTTTGGCATACCTCAGAAAAAATGGATATGTGTGTGTGTGTATGTATGTATGGATAGAAATTTCCAGTCACGTTTTCGGGCGCACGGATCAACCGATTTGAATGGTTCAAAAAACATTAGATTCCTATTGATAGGGAAAAGAGCTGATTAGTTTTTGGCGAAGTAACTTCAAACAAAGAAAAAATTGAATAAGTAGATTAAGCAATAAACAGAGTTGTTATTTACTCATTTGCAGAGTAATTAATAGGTTAATTGTTTCAAATGATATCGCATTGCAGTCTCCGTATCTATAGTTCAGTTAGAGTGCTCATTATAATTTATCAAGTATTCTAGATTTTATATAAATAATAAAAATATAAATTTAATTTCCGAAACGTAATAAGAATGTTATAAGTTTATACAAGTTTTTAATTGATGTATTGCCCTGAAAACTGATTCTCACATATCTCTACATCAAAATTATTAAAATTTTAACATATATATATATATATATATATATATGTATATATATATTTGTCCCCTCCTCAAAAACTTTTGTATACTGAGATTTTATATTTTCTGTTAAAATTAATAATAATTTCGGATTTCAAATTTTGCCGCCGAAAAACTCGCATTTAAAATGTGCTCAATGTTGTCCAACCTGGTCACTTGTTCATGAAAACAAAATGGAGGAAAAATGTCAAAGTGGTTTATGGAATTATTAAAGTTAAATTCGAAGATAAATTTAGTAAAAAGGTCAGTGTTTGCATTATATCCTATTAAACAATAAACAAATTAGTAAATATCGAAACACATATATTATTATACACTTAGACTTCTCAATTTTTAAGAACTCATCACCAGTTTGTTTATTATAACCTACAAACTTCGAACATGTCTGAAGAAACAGATTTCAACAAAACAATTAAAACCGAACCGATCGATGATTATCCTCAAGTGAAACAGGAATTTGATGATTATGAAAATACACCAGATTTGTATATGGATGATGATATATGTCTGCAGCAATTTCTAAAATCTGAGGTTACAATTGACGAGGAAATAAAACAAGAGACGATTGATGACCAACATTATGTGACTAGTATAAATAAAACAGTTTTAGATGAAAATTCTTCTGTATGTAACGACGAGATCAGTGAATCAAGTACGATAGTCAATAGTACAAACAAAACATTTGAAAAAGTTTCAAGAAAGCGTAAGACAACTAGTAAGTTGAAATATAAATGTGAATCATGCAGTAAAACATTTGTATCAAAACAAGGCTTACAACGACATGAAAAGATCCATAATATAGAACTTTCTTATGAGTGCAAAATTTGCTATAAAACATTTTCACAGATAAGTAATTTAAGACGGCATTTATCAATCCATACTGGAAAACGTCCTTACGCATGTGAAATATGTAATAAAACATTCAGAATGAAACAAGGCTTGAATCAACATGAAATGATCCATACTGGAGAACGGCCTCATGAGTGCAAAATATGCAATAAAAGATTTGCACTGATATTTAATTTAAGAAAGCATTCATCAGTGCATTCTGAAGAACGACCTTATGAATGTAAGACATGCAATAAAACATTCAAAACAAAACCTATATTAATGCGACATGAAAGAGGACATACTAGGAAACAAACTGTAAAAAAACAGTCCTTATAATTACACAACTTATATGAATACAGGATATTAATTCTAATTTGTGCATTATATTATTCTGTTTGTTACTCATAATTAGTGTATTGTATGTAATTGTTTAATAATATAAATACATAGTACAGATGCTGGTTAAGTAGAAGTTCTTTATTCGCGGCAAAAAAAATTCCCAATTCCTATATTCGCGGCTTCTATCCAAAATCTAATCCAAAATCCTATGTAAATGCCGTCATTTTTGAACAAATGAAGAAAACTTTCAACGGAGATGTGCGGATTAGTTTTTGGCAAAGGCAGGTCCAGCGGTTTCGGAGATACGGGGCAAAAAGGGCTAAAAATGGTATTTCGGTTTTGATATAACCGAGCGTCCGATTTTAATAATTCAAAAAATATTTTACTTGTATTGACGAAAAGGAGAACTGTCCAAGTTTTTGAAAAGACAGGTCCAGCGGTTATATAGTTACAATAAAAAAAAAAGTATAAAAAATGGCATTTGGCGGTCAAAAATGATAATTAGACATATGCACATCGTATTATCAGATATTTTATAGAGATTTTAATAATATTTTCCTTTTTTTTTAAAAAAAAATATACGTATATCAAACTATGAATGAAAAATCATTTGGTTTGTACTTGATCGCGATGCGTTTTTGCAAAAGGCAATTTTGCCGTTTCGGGGGTATGGAGCATGGAGCGCAAAGGGTGTAAAAACGGTTATCAGTTTTTGAGAGAACGGATCATCCGATTAAATTAATTCGCAAAACATTTTGCTTGAGTAGACGGTGTGCAAAAAGTCTTTACAGAAAATTTCGAAATTTTGTAATTTAAAAGAAAAAATTCAAATTTTCGAAATTATTTCAAACAAAAAATTAAATTTTTTTTATAAAATTATTCAATTTATTTGCAAACCGTTCCAAACGCAATGATTAAGAATTTTTAAAAATTAAAAAGAGTTTTTTAATCACTCTTTTTTGCTCTAATATATTAAATAGTATTAATTTTACAAACGTTTCGAGACTATGTTTGTCTCATCATCAGTGTATTATATTAACTTCCCGTAGTAATCGCAAAAAAAAATCGAAAATGAAAATTTTTATATCTTTACGTTTCAAAACCTTCTGAGCTTGGCATACCTTAGAAAAAATGGATGTATGTGTGTGTGCGTGCGTGTATGTATGTGTGTGCAGATAAAAATTTTCGTCGACGATTTCGGGAACACGGATGAAGCAATTTGAATAATTCAAAAAACATTCGATTCGTATTGATAAGGAGACGTGCTGATTAGTTTTTGGCGAAGGCAGGTCCAGCAGTTACGGAGAAAAAGAGTGCAGAAAATAGAAATCGAGTTTTTGAGAGAACGGAGCATCCGATTTGAATGATCTAAAAAACATTCAATTAGTAATGATTGGGAGAAGTGTTTATTAGTTTTTGGCAGAGGCAGGCTCAGCCATTTCGAAGATACGGAGCTAAATGTTAAAAAAATGGCAGTTTTTGTGAGAACTAAGCGTCCGATTTGAATGATTCAAAAAACTTTCTGCTTGTCTTAACAAAATAATTGATTTTGGAAAAAAACATTTGTTTCTAATTTTTTTTCCAAAAATATTTTTGTAATTTTGGATTAAAAATTCAAAAAATCACCCAGGCTAAGCACAGTCTGAGCGCCACTCTGGTACAAATGTTTACCCGAGTGCGTTTAGACTGTCTATGTACTGGAGCACTTTTCCAATTTTGTGAAAACTATTGAAAAATGTGAAAATGCCGCCAAGCTGAGCACAGTATAAGTGAAAATGTCGCACAGAATTATTTGCAAATGCGTTTAGACTGTGACTATGCAGGAGCACTTTTTCAATTTTGTGTAAATTAGGGCAAACATTTTTTTTTTTTAAATTGAATTCGAAATGAAATGACGATTGTTAATGTTCTGGAGATGATAAATTGATTTATGATTTACATTTGATTTGCTCAAGATATAACAAGATAGCAAAAATAATGAAAGTTACACTATTTGTAATAATATATTTAAAAACGTTTAAAAGTTCTCGAATATTTCATTACAATACGGGAAGTACTAGCAATTTGACTTAAGGCACGATGCCACACAACACTAGTTTATTATTGAATTGGAAATATCAGGCCTTCAGTAGTAAATCTATTCCCGAAATAAATGTTTCGAGAGGTAGTGAATAGTATTCAACAATTTGCAACCATCTACTTTCAATAATAACAACGATTCTTGAAATCTTTTAAACAATCTACTACCGGGTGAATTAATAGTAACATTGTTTAAAATTTAAAAAAATTTAGATTAATTATAGTGAGGCGAATTAATGCATGAAACTATCGGTCTGAAAGGGCAATTGGGTTTATGTATTTTGAGAAGACTGTATAATTTAAGGAACTAGAGGGTTCCTTTTAAATTTAAGGGAATAGAATTGGTGATGTGTCATTTTTTTTCTATAAGATTGATGTATTTAAAAGCATGTTTATGATGGTAAATGTTAGGATCATCTGGTAGCTCCTTTTAACAGAATTCTCTCTTAACAGAATTACTGAAAGCTTTTATGTCTTGATGAATATATGCCAAATTATTTTTTGAATTGATGTCATGTTTAAATATAATATATATATATATATATATATATATATATATATATATATATATATATATATATATATTTGTCCTCCCCTCTAAAACTTTTGTATATTCAGATTTTATATCTTTTGTTGAAACTAATATTAAATTCGGATTTCAAATTTTGCCGCCGAAAAAATCGCAATTGAATTGTTTTTAACTTCAACTTGATCTGTTGTTTATAAAACAAAATGGAGGAGAAATGTCAAAGTGTTTAATGGAATTATTAAAGTTAAATTCGAAGATAAATTTAGTAAAAAGGTCAGTGTTAGCATTATATTCTATTAAACTATAAACAAATTAGTAAATATCGAAACATATTTATTATTGTACTTTTAGACTTCTCAAATTATAAGAACTCATCACCAGTTTGTTTATTATAACCTACAAACTTCAAACATGTCTGAAGAAACAAATTCAAACAAAACAATTAAAACCGAACCGATCGATGATTATCCTCAAGTGAAACAGGAATTTGATGATTGTGAAAATACATCAGATTTCTGTCTGCAGCAATTTCTTAAATCCGAGGTTACAATTGACGAGGAAATCAAACTAGAGACGATTGACGACCAAGATGATGTGACTAGTACAAACAAAACTGTATTAGATGAAAATTCTTCTCTATGTAAAGAAGAGATCAGTGAATCAAGTATGATAGTAGATAGTACGAACAAATCAACAGAACAAGTTTCAGGAAATCGTAAGACAACTAGTAAGTTGAAATATAAATGTGAATCATGCAGTAAAACATTTGTAGCAAAACAAAAACATGAAATGATTCACACTGGGGAACGCCCTTATGAGTGCAAAATATGCAATAAAAGATTTTCACAGTCAAGTAATTTAAGACAGCATTTATCAGTGCATACTGAAGAACGACCTTACACGTGTGAAATATGTAATAAAACATTCAAAATGAAAAAATTTTTAAAACAACATAAAGCAGTCCATTCTGCAGAACGCTCTTATGAGTGCAAAATATGTAATAAAACATTTTTACAGATAAGTTATTTAAGACAGCATTTATCAATTCATACTGGAGAATGTCCTTACGTGTGCGAAATATGCAATAAAACATTCACGGCAAAAAATAGCTTAATCCGACATGAAATGATCCATACTGGAGAACAGCCTCATGAGTGCAAAATATGCAATAAAAGATTTGCACTGATAGGTAATTTAATATCTCATTTATCAGTGCATAGTGAAGAACGACCTTATGAATGTGAAATTTGCAATAAAAAATTCAAAACAAAACAAACATTAACTCAACATGAAATAGTACATACTGGAGAACGCTGTCATGAGTGTAATATATGCAATAAAACATTTTCACAGTTAAGTAGTTTAAAACAGCATTTATCAGTGCATACTGAAGAACGCCCTTATGAATGTGAGACATGCAATAAGACATTCAAAACTAAACATTCATTAAGGCAACATGAAAGAAAACATTCTATAGAGCAAACTGTAAAAAAACAGTCAACAAAACTGATAAATTAGCCTAGAAACTGTCCGGCCTTATAATCCTCATCAATCACTCAACTTATATTGATACAGCATATTAATTGCACTTTGTTTACTCTGTTTGTTACTCCTAACCAGTGCCTTGTATGTAATTGTTTTAATAATATCAATACATACTACAAAAACCTATTTATTTTTGTTTTATTCAAAACTTTACTATTTTTGTTCTTCAATATTCGTAAAACTCCTTTAGGCGCGAATAGGGTGTAAATCTGTTCAAATGCAACGGAAAAGCGTTAAGCGGACGGCCGAGTCGAGTGCCAATGATTCGTCATTCGCTCTCGATGATATCATTTCTATACGAGTCGATTGTGATTGGTCGTCGTGTCACGTGCGAGGGCGTACGCCACATACGTAATTAGATTTTAAGGTTAAGTCCTAGTAGAAATCTTGATTTGATTAAAAAATATGTGGATCGGTAGAATAATTTATACCGTCTTCAGTAAATAATTTTACTGAAAATAATTAAACAAATGAAAAATCTGTGCCGTATAAGAAACGTAAGTTTATTGAAGTAATTTGTATTATTCGTGGTTACTATATATTTTAGAAATGAATTTTTAGGCAAGACGGATATTACAGCTGCTAAAAGAATAAGACTGTATCGCCAACGAAAAAGTAAAACAATCAATGAATGTATGTTAATTTTATTTCATGAAGTTCGTAAACACAATTATTATATGATAAGTGAAATTGTGAAAACAATATTTGTTTAGGCATTATTTAACATAATCCACTATGTATAGAATTTATTAATCAGCAATTACTTCATTTCTCTATAAAGGTTCAAGTCCTAAATGCTAATTACAATGACACACCGATCATGTCACATTTGAGGTATGACTTT